TAGGCCTTCGAGAACGTCGACCAAGACATAGGACGGTAGACGACGAAGACGACGAGTTCAAACGTANTTGGGTTTTAGTCGCTTGGCAACGACGTTGTAAAACAAGCCGCCCCCCCCAATGTTTGCCATGGAGGTTGGTGTTTCGTCGCTTGGCAACGATGTTGCAAAACAAGCCGATCACTTCGTGAGCTCGGCAAAATGTTACTGCTTTTGTATTCCTTTTTTTTCGCGGTAACCACGAATGGTGGTCGAGCAGATCATGTTGTGCGGGGTCGAAAACCCTCCATCCACGCAAAGGGGATGATCGCACCACGTTGTGTTAAATTGGTCAAGCACCCTCGAGGTAGCTACACAATGCTTACAACTGTCTCAGACAGTGAAAGCACCAGAAAATAAATTAAGTCATACGCAGCTGTCATCCGTACGCAAGGAAGTAAGCACAAGATGCCAAACACCCTTAGCAGGATGCAGCGCACCCTTCATGCGACTCGCCGAATATCTCACGGCGCTTCGCGCTTGGTGATGTGAGAGCCTGGTCCGGTGAGAACCCGGCGTGCTCCGTCCCGGCTTTGTAGGGATGCAAGGTCAATGGTCTAACGACTACGGCATGCACGACTATGAGTACACCCCCCCCCACCGGTGTTTGCCGTCGGGATTGGGTTTTCGTCGCTTGGCAATGACGTAATAAAACAAGCCCCCCCACCGGTGTTTGCCATCGGGGTTGGGGTTTCGTCGCTTGGCAACGACGTTGTAAAACAAGCCAATTCACCTCGTGAACTCGGCAACCAGGTTACCGGGGTGTTTTTCACCTCCGGTTGTTTTTTTGGCGGTAACCATGAATGGTGGTCGAGTAGAATATATTGTGCGGGGTGGAGAACCCTCACTCCACGCAAAGGGGATGATCGCACCACGTTGTGTCAAAATGGTCAAGCACCCTCCAGGTAGTTGCACAGTGCTTACAACTGTCTCTGGAAGTGAAAGCACCAGAAAATAAATTAATTCATACGCAGCTGTCATCCGTACGCAAGGAAGTAAGCACAAGATGCCGAACACCCTTAGCAGGATGCAGCGCACCCTTCATGCGACTCGCCGAATATCTCACGGCGCTTCGCGCTTGGTGATGTGAGAGCCTGGTCCGGTGAGAACCCGGCGTGCTCCGTCCCGGCTTTGTAGGGATGCGAGGTCAATGGTCTAACGACTACGGCATGCACGCCGATTCGTGCCGACCTGCCGCGAACCCTTGACATAAAGGTATTTTTTTTGTTTGCTCATGTTTTCATGTACTGCTGTCGTTTCCCTGTTACGTAGCTTTTGCATGTTCTTGCATTACCCCTTTGCCGCGGTGCTTCTCTTTACCCCACCCCGGAGGAATATGCCTTGTATCCATGTTACAATACATATATAGTGAATAGTGAAGCGCTCGGATGCACGTCTTTCTTGCTCACTACTGAGCACCCTGCTGAAAAATACAAACAGTGACATGCTGACACCGGAAGCAACAAAGTGGAGCCACACAAGGCACAGTTTCGTATTGTTTTTAGGTTCGTGTGTGACCAGTCACCACGGGTTTTTGAGTGAACGGCACAACAGCTGTGAGATGTGAGAGCTAATTTTGAGGGAAGACAAAAAAACATATCGACCTTTAGTCTACAGCAATCTCTGCTCGCCGTTGTCGTCGCTACATGATGATTGATTATGCTGCTGCAGATTTTGGTGGCCTGGCGTTATTACGACCTACTGCTGAATTTCGATTCGTGTAGTATGTCATATCGATGCGAAAGTAGTCTAATTAGGTACGAGGTAATACTGCTTGAAGAGAGGAGGTAACCGCACCTCTTTCGCTTGATCGACGGGATTTTCGTCTGGGGGAACGGGAGCGATGCCCCTCCACACTTGGCTCCCTGCCCATGTCGCTTGCCGCAGCGTGTTGGGTGTAGTCAGGTACTTCTCCCTCTACCGCTCTACTGTAGCTCGATCTCTCCAGCACAGTCAGAGCACAGAGCAAATCTCCACTGCTGGGACGGGGATCGAGGGATCGAGCCAGGTCCGCTGCTGGGATTCACAGGACCCAAACCCTCCCCCCCTGGGGCTATTCCTATTCTGCTCTCCCTCGGTGCTGCGCGTAGCAAAAAAAAAAAGTTAGACGTACGTAAGTGCCGATTCGCACTCTATGGTGCTTTACACGCACACAGCAGAGCCACCCCTCCAAGACGAAGCACGATGGCTGTAAATGTCTCCAATAGCTAGCGACGGACCCAAGTAGTATGAAATTCCATACAATACACTCAGCAGAGAAAGTCCCCAAGTCGACCCCCAAAAAATGTGGAAAAGCACACAAGCCCGTAAAGACGCGGCGGAACCTCGAGTGAGCCGACGGCACATCCTTGGTTATGTAGGCCTGTCCTCCATCGGCCGTTTTTTTTTCCTTTTTCGGCCGCTTTTTTTTTTCTCTTTCGGCCGCTTTCTTTCCTTTTTCGGCCGCTTGTTTTCCTTTTTCGGCCGCCCCAATTTTTTTTCGGCCACCCCAATTTTTTTTTCGGCCACCCCATTTTTTTTTTCGGCCACCCCAATGTGTGCCCGTACTAGCCCGTACAGGTACCCTTTTAACACCCTCTCGTGCATCCTATGCTTGTTGCGCAAGATGGATCGGGGCTCGTCCATTTATCTGTGTTCTTTGGATATAAATAACTCTGTGTCTAGTCGCAGTAATGCACCGGTTTATCACTAGTCATCATTGAGAAAAAGAGTACTATTTCATACCATACGCCTCCGAAGCCTACTCTTTCGTGTTTCATCTCTCATGTCGTCTATTGCCCGTCGCTCATGTCCACGTCTACCACCCCCGCCTCCGCGCTAGCCCCTCCACCGCCAGGCCCCTCCTCCTCCTCCTCCTCCTCCTCCCCGTCCCCCTCCTCTTCCTCCCCCTCTGCTTCCCCCTCCTTCTCCTCTGCTAATTCCTCCTTGTCATACCGCAGCTTCAGAGAATGCCTATCCCTTCCTCCGTTGTACTTGATGAGGGCAGCCATGATCCTGTCTGACAAGCAGCTGTTCTGACTTGAGTCTAAGCAAGAGCGTACTGTCGAAAACACGCGCTCCATGAAAGCCGACGAGGGTTGCACTAGAGCAATGTCCAACACTACGGCGAACCACGTCGGGAGTTTCTCTTTGTGGTCCTGCCAGAACTGCCAAAAATCGTAGTCTCTGTCCGTCACGCGGGCGGCGACATAGTAGTCGTCTTTTTCGGTGAGAAGCTTGTCGACTTGTTCCTCCGAGATGAAGGGGAAGACGGCGAGGCTGCGGACTTCGTTGGCGCTGTACTTGTGACGTCGCATGAAGGTGAAGTCGATGAGCCGCGCGGCCTCCATATACTTGAGTACTGTCGCCCGCTCAGCGTCCTCGTGGGGCCCGATCTGATCGTATGCGTAAGTGCGCAGAGGGACGAGTTCGTCTTGAAACTCAGCCTTGAGAAGGTCGGCGGTGGCTCCCTGCGTGTTGAGAGAGTGAAAGGAGCCGGGAGGAAGGAGGGACGGGACAGGGCGAAGGGTTTTGAGTGGGTGATAACGTGCGGTTCTGTTCGGTGTACACTACACGATTGTCAGGTGGTTGCAAAGTACATGAACCACTGGAGTAAAATTAATTTACTTACGAAGTCGTCTCCCTGGCCAATGCCGGCGGCGATGACAGCGTCCAGAGTAGGCAAAGCCACGTCCTCCTTGAAGAGCCCATCGTTGCCTAGCTCGAGCTGGGACCGGAACTTCTCGATTTTGCTGAACGCTTGGTGCAGCTGCAAATAAAGGAAACGCGCAGGCAAAGCACAAAGACCATAAAAAACCGGGCAAAGTTCTCGGTAAACAAAAGTACTTGTATGCTTGTGGGCATCCGCATATCCACCCCTACTACATTACAGGAACCAGACAGACAACGTACGTACCAGTGGCTCGTCGCCTTCCAGGAAGATGCAGGCAGCGGTGACGATCTTGCCCACGTCCACAAGTACAGCCAGCTGCATCCGAAGGACGAGGACCTGATCCTTCCCGTCGTTCCGCTTCCGAGCTAGCTCCGATCGCAGCCATGTCGCCGTCTTGGACTTTTCGTCGTCGTTACTCTTGTACGCCTCGATGAACTTCACAACACCTGGCCAGTTCATGGCGATGAGGTAGTCGCGCTCGTACCTCGAACCCCACCGGTGGTTGGGAGTTGGAGGATCTGTGACGCCGACTATTTCGCGGAAGAGGGCCTTGGCTTGCGGACTGTGCGAAAGCAGAGTGTGCAGCTTGCCCAAGAACTCGTCCACGTCCGGGAATCTCAGTCGGGTCCCGATGTTGTTGAACAAGTGGGAGAAGCAGGGGATGCCCACCGACTTGCGGTAGATGTGCTGCGTGAGGGAGTCGAGAGCAAGCAGGTTGGCCGCGCAGCCGTCGAGCATGAAGCCGATGCAGCGTGACGCCCTCAGGTTAAACTCTTCGCCCAAGGTGTCGTTGACCTGGCCGACGATGTCTCGAGCCGACATAGACTTCTTCAGCATCGCAATCTTGAGGACACGCTGCACCACCTGCTGCCAGGAAACGAGGGAGAGCGTGGAGTGGTGGGGAGCGGGGGGAGGGGCCGGGGATGGCGTCGTGAGACAATAATTGAGAGTGAGATTGAAAAGCACCGATGAAACCTTGCTCTATTGGGCTGGTGCGATCTGCTCAATGCTGTCTGCTGTGCTGCTGTGCTCGGCGTATGCATGCGATAACGGAATAACGGTGCGGCGGTTTCTATAATTGAACGCAATCATTTTCTGTACCTGGCCGTTCTGGTTGATGAATCGTAGTCCGATGCCGAAGCACTCGCAACGGTAGGGCGTGGCGTCGAAGCACACCGTGTAATTCCCGTTCCCAAGCTCCGACAAGGTCGTGTCAAGCTGTTGATATTCAAAAATGCAGAGGGAAGTAAAAAGACAAAAAGAAAGCGTTACTGAATGCTGAGGCAGTCGAATGTGGTTTGCGTGCAACACGCAACTCCACCGCCCCCCCCAAAAAAAACACAGCTAGGAATAACTACAGCAGCGCCATTTATCCAGCAGCAGCTTAAACCCACTTGGAAATCAAATTTGATCATGAAAGGGGGTTCGACCAGTCGAGCAGCTATACGCACCTCTTTGCGCAGCAGGAACGGGACGTGCTCGGCGAGATGACTGCGTCCCGGCGCGCGGATGTTCGCGAAGTCGAAGAAGGCCTTCATCTGCGGGTCCTCAAGGGCATGAAGCGGGATGCCTGCCGACAAACATCCAGCCACCAACTTCACCTGCAGGAGCTTGTCACGGTCGCTCAGGGTGTCACCGTACATCCCCCCCTTGGCTTTCGACATGATTCCGAAGGCACGCAGCGTGCCCTGCAATATTACGAGTGTCGGGAAGGCAGTAGGACAAGGGCGAAAATGTGCTGTGGTCCTTTGTATGTTATCACCAGGTATATTTCTTGTGTTTTTCTTTACGGGAAATGCATTTGTCGACACTACCACGGAACACGGATCAGCAGGCGACACTGCACGGAACACACAACAGCATACGAGACCAACACACAGTAGTGATACAACGATAATTTTTAGGCATGTATGTATCATACTTACAAATAAACTTCGTAATATGGAAATATTGACTGAAACATTACGAAGTACTTCTACAGCATAAGAATACAACCGAGTACCGCTGAAAAATTTAAATTTTTGAAAAATCAGATGACAGATAGACAGCAGTAGACTCCCTACCCATTCCTCACCTCGTCCTCAGCCTTCTTCGCTGGCTCCGCGGCCAGCAGCACCACATGCCTATGACTCCTGCAGTGGTCCGCGACGTTGCTCCACTTGAGCTGTAACTCCTTGAAGTTGCAGACAGAGCACCCCAG